ATGGACTTGACGCAATTGAGAGGCAGAGACTGGCTTATAAAAGACATGACTCAGAAAGCCAGGTGTGCACGCCCACCACCAGAGAATCACTACATCTATCATCATCATCAACTTAAGGATCTCAGAGATCCCTTCCATCCTTAATGATTCCTAGTTTTTACTTTCATTAAAAATAATCCAGCCACCAAGCCAGGAAACATGAAATTATTACTCTACCCTTGATTGGTTTAGTGGTGGACTTGGTAGTGTTAGGTTAATGGTTGGACTGGATGATATTAAAGGTCTTTTCCAACCTAAACTATTCTATGACCAGCCGGGTTAGCTCAGTTGGTTAGAACACGGTGCTAATAACGCCAAGTTCACAGGCTCAATCCCTGCTCACTGCAGGGGGGTTGGGCTCGATGATCTCTCAAGGTCCCTTCCAACCCAAAGCATTCTATGATTCTATGATTCTATCATTGCAGGATCCAAGGGTGGTGATAACTCTCTCTCTCTCCCACCCCTCTGTTTCTTTTCTTCTTATAAGTATTTAAATTAGAATCCCACATTGCCTACTGTTACACTATCCTAGTTCAGGTTGCCTACCGTTAGGCTTGCCAAGTTCAGGTTGTTTCTATCATCAATAAAGTGTTTAATCGATCGCTTGGTGTCATTTCACCTTAATTTAGTGCAAGGGAATCACAGAACTTCCACGATCCTCCCTGGGCGGGCCAGTTTGGATCGTGACAATCCCCAGCCAAAGCACTTGTCTGCCTGCAATCTGTGCATGTAGTGGGCAAGTCCCCACAGAAATGTGCTAAAGGAAACACCATAATAAATTAAATGCATCATCTCTGTTCAGAAGCAATGTCAGATCTGAGTCTTTGTAATTTTTCTCAGGCTTTTCACTCAGCCAAGAGAGCACAAATATTCCCTTCTTAAAATGGAAGTGATAAACATGCTGCTCCAGAATACTGAACTCTTGGAAGTGTTCATTACTCTTGCTCATTCACCTGTGGTGCACACTGTCTTCCTCCAGTGGAAGTCTCTGCATTTTCATCCTCTCGGTACATTTTTAGCTTCATTGTGCTACAGATTACTAGATACAATAAAACTAATGGATGTAAATCCAGTGGTCTCTTTTAGGAAAATGAAGTGGTACTCCACCCATATGAAAACTAAAGGGTAGGTTCTAAATGGAAAAAGTCAGGTCTCCTATAGTCAATAAATAAACTGTGCTTTGTCAATCATAATCATCTAGGGAGAAATGAGATGGAAGCTTATCTAAGAACACACAGGAACTCGCTTTCACTTTGTTATAAAAACATTCTGAATGATATAACACACATATGTTGTAATAACTCTGGCTTGAAAAAGCCAAATCAAACCCAAAAGCTGTTTCTCATCAGTTGTGTGAGATGCTGGTGAAACAGCCGTCTGAAGCAATCTGGATTCAGTCTTACAGAAAGAGACTGAGGATTCAATATTTAGAATTGCTCACACAGGACTTAGGAAGAAAAATCAATTCAATGGATCAAGCCAGTGGTAATATTATGCAGAATTTCAAACCTTACCTTGATTTTCTTTTGTTAAAAAAAAATAAGCAAAACCAAACAACAATCCAGTGGAGCAGAATCTGAGTTGGTTTTTGGGATATAGTCACAAGAAACAGAGCAAGACAGATTACCTCCCAGCCACCAAACTTAAGGTAGACTGACTAATAAATTGCACAAAGAGTGCAAGGCATCTTTACAATAGTCATGCCAAAAACTACCAAAATGAAGAATGCCATAATAATGTTGAAAATAATCACTATTTGTTGGAAAGCACTTTTCACAAGGATAGACATATGCATTGTCAAAATAGAATCTTCAAACACACAATCTCCTGGGGACACTATTAAACATGGATGGGAACTGGATTTAGCTGTCCCATTTTGACTCTGTCAAGTCATGGAAATCTACTATTAGCTTCCTTACTACATTTTAAAAGGCCCAAAACATTTAAAGACACTAAAAAGTATTATGAATGTTCAATACACTACTGTTTACTATTGCAACTTCAAAAAGTACAGCTAAGTTATAGTTAAGTCACATTAGTTCTTGATATTCACAATTACTACTAATCTGTGAAACTAAAAGACTTCTTACATGACTTGAAATGGCTACTGTGCAAGTACAAAACAACCAGTACACCTCACTTCTATTGCTACATGAATGACGTCCATTAAAAGAGACTTAAAAAGTTGAGTTTTCTGCTCTGTAAATTATTACTGCATTGTGATCAAACCAGTAAAAAAACCCAAATGAATAAATCAGATAAAAAGTGTTTCACAGACACTCATGTCTCAAATTAAAATCTTCTGAATTTCACTGTTTTAGGGAAAAAACAGAAGACCACCAAAATCAACAGGAATATTTCAACTGACTTTGAATCAGGATTTTTTTGCAGACCAACAAATAAATATAACGTCCCTTTGGATCAATGTCAGGTCACTCTTCTACAATATACAGGTGTTGACAGCCATGTAAGGCAGGAATTGCTGTTTTGGGTTACTGACATCCATAACTATGCTAAAAATGCTCTGAGACAATGAAGACAATATAATGCTAGATTTAAACAGGTTGAATGTATGCAGTTTGGAATATTTCCTATACATTTTCTAGCTCTTCATCAGCAAAAGAAGACTACAGCTCCTTTTTTTTTTTTTTTTTTCCATACTGTATAACTTCCTAAAGGAAAAGAACCTGGTTTAGAACTTGACTTGTCTTTTCTTTGCAGGCTATTAACAACCTATTAATGGCAAGTGGGTTGTGAGCCAGCCATTAATTATAAACCTGTATTAATTCAAGATGCTGATCTTGAGGTCAACTCTGAGCTTTCCAGGAATCTCTGTTGATCCTTGGAAGCCTAAGTGGAGTGTCAGCATGAGACAAACACTTAACATCCCCTTCATACTTCTTTTAAAAAGTCAAAATAGTGCAAAACCACACACTTATTAGTGTGCTATGATACTGAGGCTTTTTTCAATTTGTAATTTGTAATCTGTGAGGCTACAAAACCTGCAATCTACTATTACAAAAATAACATACAAGAAAAAATGTACAAAAAAGCCTATGCTAGACATTACTTGAAATATAATTGTAATCAGAAAACTACGAAACACTTACTCAGCAGCCCTTTAAAAAGCCATAACAGATATTGCAGTTGTGGGAAGATACTGAAAATTATCAATGTATTAAAAATGCTCCTCTAGGCATTTTCTGTCTATCCATAAAAATTTACAACCAGCAGTGAAATAATTTAAAATCCTCTTCAGATCTTCCTCTAATAAAAACATACCTTCCTGAAAACTCTACCATGGCATAATCATTTGCCCCACTAGTAAAACTGTAGCATTACTGAAATTACAGGTTCAAATTACTACCAATCAGCAGTGAAAAACAACATTCTTTTCTTTGTCCTTTCTTCAACACCTAAGGTGTAACTATGGGTCATTTGAAATAATTTTTAGGTGGTACTGTATCAGCAGAAAATCTTGACAAGTATCCATCTCAGATGAGCAAAGGGCTGACACTTGGAGTGGCAGGGAAGGCAGATGCTCTCTGAAGACAAAGGGTGTTTAGACTGATTTGTCTCGAGAGTTAGAAACCTTGTACAGTACACTAATGTTTTCCCTTACATCTACTTCAGTGACACCACTTCTCCCCTACCAGTGGAAATTGTTGTAAAACAGCTGTAAACTGTTTTATAGTTGTGTAACTATTATATAAATACCTATTGACAGGTATTCAGCCAAGGGTGTACAGTAATAAAGCTTTCAATTCCTGTTATTTTTGCTAGAGCATGGTGTAGTACATATGAAAGTTGGTACCGTAAATGCATTGCATACAATGTTCTCCTACATAAGCAAAATCATGAATGAGTTTGTTACTAGGACAAGTTTTCTAGTATTTTTTTACTAAAATTTACTAAATTACTAAATTTTTTACTAAATTTTACTAAATTATTCTTAAATGTCTTCATCCAGATAGAGAAATGCTGCTAGACAGGATAGCTTTACTAATACCACATCGTAACCCACTAAAACACAGTTGTGTTAATTCAATATTTAAAGACAAGGCCATATAAATAGGTGCGATTTTATCCACAGAATGGTAACATTTCAGGTAAATTAATTTAATGATAAATGAAGCACTTTAAGTACTGAGGATCTCACCAAAATATGCATCACTTCTGAGCCTGGAATTAAACATTAGAAAAACATCCTAATACATTCTGACTTCTCATACACATAAGAAATCCTGTTCTATGATTTCTAGAACCTTTTAAAATTCAAGCTAGCTAAGAATTCATTGCAGCAGTCTGACCACCTTAGGTTTGGCCTCAATTGGAGTAGGAATAGTTTTAGAGTAATTAATAATATTCTTCTATGGAAAAGAAGATTTTCTTTTTCCCCTCCCTAAAATATAGCAAGAACTTAGCAGCTCTTTTACCATGAAGTCTGGTTTCCTAATCATTATAGATGTTATGGAAAGATATAATTTTCGATAAAAATATTTCGGTTGTTTTTTTCTTTTTTGCCTGTTACTTCAAAGTCTTTACTATTTGCTATGTTGCTCTTACTGCCTTTTGACTATTGCTGCAGTCTAAGCAGAGGTGTTTCTTGATGGTCTTTAAGGTTTTTTTGTTTTTCCCCCTGAATGTCTAATGTTTAATTTGGAATCCAAAACACTTTAGAGCTTTTCAAATTTCTTTTGCTCAATATACATACACATTCACTTTTATGTATCATCTTGTATCAGTTCAGCTGAAAGCTCATTTTTCATTTTGATTAATATAAACATCTTTTTTTGAATCAGGGATTTTGCTGCTTCTTATTTCGTTTCCATTTCAGATAAGTAATACATATATTGAACAAAATCACAAAACTCTTGACTCGTAGACAGCCTAGCTTTTTGCAATGACAAAAACTGACCAGTTGTTTATTTTCTGGTTCTCATGCAGTTTTCAATACCTACCTAAGAGGCTCTGATCAATGCATGTTCCATTCACCAGTGATTTTCCTTCTGGACAAGCACATGTTGCACCAGAAGGGTTGAGTAAACAAATGAATTCACATGTCAGGTCCAAGCATGGATTAGGCACTGTTTAAAAAGACAAAATATTAAAAATGTTTTTTTTTTTTTTTCTTAGAATTACACTGTGTTCTAGAAGTAGGAAAAGATAAATAATCAGATATAAAAATTCTGATACACTTCCAGTTTCCAGGATATCAACAGCCTGAAGTCAGTGAACACACTCTCTCGAATGGCAATGCAAGACACACCAGGATAGAATTTATTTCAGTAGCAAAAAATGTACTGGTAATATGCAGTAAAAAACCTCATCTGGTTGTGGCTAAAGGCATTTGTATTCAGCTCTCTCCTAATTTTTTAATACCTCATTTACAGTGCGGGTACACAAGGCAAGCACTTGTCCAATGTTCTTTCAAATGAGAGCAAATGCATCAAAAAAATCTAAATCAAACTTATATAAAGAAATATGACTAAATCTATTTTCAGTTTGTACAATCAGGCTCTGTTTTATATCTATACAACTTGGTTACTTTTTTTTCCCCCCCTGAGGTGAACTTGCTCAATATTGAGTTTGAAATAATTATGCTTACTCACAGTCCATTTGTTTGTAGCGGTGAAAAATCAAGGCACTTTTTGCTTTATCAACATCCACACTTAGATATTCTACAAGGCTCCTGCCAAATTTGTGTACTCTAAATGCACCATTTTTAGGACCTGCTCCATATATGTAATCCTCAAAAATGTCAATTCTATGTGGATGCAGTAAACCTTGAATAAAAATGGATAATAAATACAAATATTCATATTCAAATAATAAACAACTTTCTTTAAATAAAAACTTCAGTTGCATTATTGCAATTACCACCTAAAGACATTATTATTCAGTTTTGTACCCACAAAGCTTGCTTTTGAAAAAGCAATCTTCTTAAAAGGAACTCTTCACATACTACAAGCAACAAAAACCTCTTGTCAGGCATCTGCATGGCATCTGTTCAGTGTTACAGGAGGTTGTAGTCAGATCCCTACACTCAAAGTGATCCTTCTTGAGATGACTACTTCCATGTATATTGATCCAAGTTGTGAAATAAAATGCTATTAAACCAGAATAAGATGATTTAAACCTGGTCCCGCTCAATTTGGATTATGGGAGATTTTTCTTAGTATCTTCCAGAACCCCCTGGTGACTTCCAGATCATTGGTTAAAGCACTCAGCAGCGCTAAATGTAATATCATCCTGATGAAACTCCTCTACCAACTGCCCAATAAGCAATCCTCCCAAAAAGACTGCTTTCAAATTTTTATTTTTTTTAATGTGTTTCCTCTCTTTTGTACTGAAATTTCATAAATTGTTACATACATTATCAAATTGTTAAAAAGCCAACATGCAATTCTATAAAAACAAAGTTTGCTTAACCAGAATCTCTTTTCTTATGAAACGAACTTTCCTCATTCACATTCTGTCAGCAGAATTCTGTGATTACTTACTGACCTGAAAGCCAAACCCATTATTTTTCCAAGAACTGATTCAGGTCAACTGTTCTATAAACTATACAATTCCTGTGCAATGCAGACAGCTCTAATTTCTAACTAGTCAAGGTGCTCCTGTTGCTATGTAAGTCCAAGTGAGGCCAAGCAGAAATATTAATCACAGTGTTATTTGATAATACCTAAGCTAATGATTAGATAACAAACTTGGAGATTTGCACGTATCACTGAATCTTTGTTCCCCTAAAGTAACTTTATCAGATTATCTTAAAGCTAGAATTATCTTATCTTAAATATCTATTTGTTTAGATAATATCTGAAGTATTAGCTAACAAAAGCAATTAATATTACCTAATAATCACTGCTTTTTGCTCACACAGTTTCTCTGAATAGTGAAACTTTTACCAAATACAATAAATAGAAATCATGTTATATACAAGCTCTCCATACCTTGTTTAGTGCTCACAGACACAACTGAATCGGAACCATCAAAAAGAACACTGCCAATAACAGATAATTCAAAGTCAGCCCAGAACAAACGCTGACTGAACTGATCAACTACGAGACCTACAAAGAAAATAAAGTTCAAATAGCTATATAAAACCTGAAAAAAATTAATATTTTCATATAACTGTACATTTTTATATCATTCAGATTCTTATGAACACAAAATATGGTGAAAATGAAAAAGCATGACTAGAAACCAAGGAGAATAAAATACAACACCTTCTGCTTAAACCTTCCCCTTGAGGCAACCATGGTTTTTTACTTTACTTTACTCTTCCAAGGTCAGTACCTTTTCAAACCCATTAGCCTCAGCAGGTAGTGATATACACCAGGTGGGAATTAAATATAGAATCTAATCCTGTAATTTGCTCTACCAACAAAAAAATCTATTATGTCAATAGATTTCTAAGCAGTAGCACCAGTGTGACCACACGTTAAAAACAAGGCGTCCAGACTTCAGAATCTCCGTAACCTATCCTGTTTTCACAAGCATATAATTATGCTCTTTTTTTATCACCAAAACTTCACACACAGTAATTATTACAGAATTAAAAATCAGATTATTTTCATTACGTTAGTGCTGCAAGACTTAAACAGCAATATTGACAGAGGTATATATCCACATATATATGAAAAGAAAGCACAAGAGTGAGTGACTGAGAGCACAAATGAGAATAAAAGATAGATAACATTGTGACTACCCAGCCTCTAGGCAATAACTAAATAGTTAAATCAAGCAGCCCATGTTTCACAGAGGATGATTAATATGCCATTTTAGGTCATGTCAAAAGTTTCAGCCTGAAAAAATATTTGAACCATAAAATAATTTAATTCTGAGCTTTTGAAGTTGTAGTATATTTTTAATAAGAAAGGGAAAAAGTATTTTTCTTCCTATTTATGTAAGTAGGTAAGTCAGAAAAAAAATACATCAAAAGAAATTATACATAACAGGAAAAAATCTCCTCTTAAGGTCATAAATTAATCAGCTACAGATAGATGAGAGGAAGTGGAGGAAGTCTGACGCACAGAGCAGTGAAATATGTTTACATTTGCAACTCCATTAAAAAAAAAACCCTCTTTAAAAGAAACACGGGTATTCAGGCATACAGCTAAAGAGAATCATTTCTAGTAAAAGATAATCACAATGTGTCAACTCTGTGTGATACATAGTACCTGTAAGGGGGAATATTTTAGAGGCAGTCCCCACTCTCCAGCTTTAAATTATTCTTTGCACTTTAATAAGAATATTAAATATCAAATAATAAATAAATAACATTCTTAATGTATCTTTCACAGTATCAGAGATAACACAGTGTGAAAAAGTACTTATTTTTGTTTCATACATATAGCACTCCTGTGACAGTCATTTTTATGTAACTCCTGTGAAGTCAAGCCTAAATGCTCAAACTCTCACTCTCTCTCACTTGAAATAGGAAATGTATATTTAGTAATAAATTTAAGGCAGTGGAACACAGATGTTTAGTAAAATCTTAAACTTAATCTAAACAATAGTAGTAAAGTCTCATTTGGGAGGAAATATTAAAGGCTTGGACTCTTTCTTTGCATTCGCTTTACAAAGACATGGATCTGTATGAAATATCTGACAAAAAATTGTCAAGACTCCATAAATGTCTACTTTCTACCATGAAGTAAAGGAAGAAAAGCACAGGATGCCACAAAAGTGTTTTCAGGCAGCAGGTACAGGAAAATGCAATACTGCGGCAAGGCATTTGTGCAATTTCCTCTTTGCAAAGTCTGCTCATTTTTGGTAATTCTGCTAATTTTCTTAATTTTCATGTCTCCATAGGACATAACCTTGGCAATCAACCAGACTGATAATAAGAGACAAAAAAGCACAATTCCAGCAATTAGAACTAAATCTAATTATTAGTATATCAGATATGTTCACAGCGTTTTACATAAGAAGTTCAGCAAAGAATATGTAACAGCTCTGATAAACATAAAATTCTATTGTCTTTCAGTCTGAATAATCAGATGCTTCTTACTGATTTTACTATTGACTGAGGGGGGGGGTTATTATTATTATTATTATTATTATTGTGCTTCTTTCTTATCTAAGGAGCATAAGCTTTCTCTCCTCAAAGCCTTCCTTATCACATATGTAATTTCTTAAGTTGCTATATTTCAATCTAATCATGTCAATAAAGGAAGAGTGTTTCCTTTCAGGGATGAGTATAATTCGCCTATGCAACACCATAAGCCCAGCTTAGCATGGGATTTAGCAGTCTGTTAAAATGTTATTACTTGTTGCTGTGATAGTGACAGCCTCTAGACGCTTAGATATTCAGATAACATCCTCTTGAAAGAAGCCTATGTTTCAACAGATACGCATCCCAAAGTTGGACAACCCCTAATTTGCAATGCAATAATAACAAATTATCATTGTAAGCCTGGAGAAACATCAAATATTGCATGTGAAAATGGGTCACGAACAAATCATTTGTGGTTTCAAGACAGGATGCTGCTATTTGAGAGAGACATGTTTCATTCTGGATTTATCATTTCCTTTGTCATAAAAATTACTTTTATCCTGCCAATAGAGTCTTAATGGTAATGCACAAGATCTCAACATGTACTGTCAAGCTTCAAAATAGTTCTGTAAAATACTGAGATAATTAAGTTGTTGCTTCTTTGAATACCTAAACCTTGTTTTATAGTATTTTGCAGTGTGTTCAGGAAAGGAACTAGAATAGGCTGTGAGATTTCATATGCATTCTTAGAAAATGTGTCTTGCCACTAACTGGTGTTCTCTTAATTGATTTTGCTTGTTCAGTGTTATTGAACAAATCACATTTTAAGTGGTTATATATAGTCCTTTGATACTACTTTGTAAAATCATCACATTAAGCTTCGTTACAAAAGTTTAAATCATATTAAGATGTATCATTTGAAAACAGAACTAAGAATTTGATTAGTAGCTGCATATGAATAACCAGAATACATATTTTAAAAAATATGTTTGTTTTTTTTTTTTTCAAACTGAGAAACTGAAATTCATCCAACAAATCTACACTGAGTTAGCAAGTGCCATGTAATTAGGAAAAATGGATAAGCTGTATACCTGTAGGCCTTTGTAAATTCTTTTGAACCAATATCCTTCTCAGAGTACCATCCATAGATGATTCCTCTATGTGAGAGCGATCCCCAATAACTGTCCAGTACATCATCCTAAAAGTATTAAACATAAAAAGTAAGCTGGATGTCTATAGATAACCTCAAAGCACTTCACTGATACTAAATTTTTATGAGCCTTTCAACCTACCTGAAAGATGGGGGATAACTGATCCTGATTTACATACAGGTAAATCGAGCAGGAAAATTAAGTAAATGACTTGGAAAAGTTTAGACATTTGTAGACATAATTTTATTTCTTTTACTCTACTTTGCATTTTTGTTTAAATTACCAAAACAGAGTAATGCTGAAACATACTTACCCCTTTTTCGGATTTACAGCAATTGCATATGGTTCTCCTGCCATGCTTGTAAGGAGTCTTGTACAGTTAGGTCCGTTCAATTGACCTACATTGATGGAGTATCTCAGACTAGTCCAATGAGTTGTATAGTAGCTGAACCAATGCATTCTGGAGTGATCAGTCCAGTAAATATTTCCAGCAATCCAGTCAACTGCAATGCCCCTAGGTCTTTTGAATTCTGGACACTAAAAGGAACAGATGTTAAAGTCAGATTTATGGAAATGATTTTTCACAGCAGCTGCATAGTCAGAGATTTATGTAACTTTTTACAGTTAAGTAACTTTTACCTTCAATATGGTGAAATATTTAAAAACACTGCATTGGAAAGACGTAAATTCCACCTGTAGGAGATCGGCTCTAAGTGATCTGCTGACAGTTCTATTCAATGCAGAAGAACAAGTCAATGGTTCAAAACTGTTTTCTCAAGCCTAAGGCTACCTACATTAAGAAAAAGGCACTTAGGCATGAACTACTTGACCTATTGACACTGAAGCAAATAAATGTTACATACTGTAATTCAAAAGGAAAGGAAAGGGTAGAATTAAGCTTATACAGCTATTATACTCCATGCAGAGCTATGGTATGATGTCCCAACCCAAAGCCCCCAGTGCAAATGGTGCTTGAGACCATCCTGAGGTATGGCTGCTCAGCAGCCTGCCACGGATAAATAAAATCACTGCATTTAGAAAACTGCATAAAATTACCCCTGTATTCTGACCAATACTAGCATGCAATTGTAACGCAAATTTTTAAATGTTTCTCTTCCCTTGCTGTTAACTGTTCCTGTGTTCCACCACCGATTAAAACTAGTTAGTGCAATATTCAGCTTCATATGTAAAAGAGGCTTGACAGATTATCACTTTAAAATTATAAACTGTAGTATCTCTGTCATGATTTCACAGTTATCATTAAGACCTAGATCCTAAAAAATGGTCCTAAGGATAGGAGTTCATATCGCAAATAGGAGATCTATATGAACAAGTTTCTTTAAAGTTTACTAGAATTCCTGCAGAGAGGAGTAAAATCTGTAAAATAGGACTACCCAACTATTTCTAACATGAATGCAGCATATCATAAACAATTCAACACCTGCATGGGCTGAATACATATAGAATTGTTTGCCTGTTTATCTATAATGACATAAAGTTAAATTATGAACAAATAATGTCTATTCCTTGACAAATGCAGTAATGGAATGCTACTAAGCTATGTAACTAGAAATCAGGAAAGAAAATCCTAAAATAACTTGTTTTCCTCAGGTGCCAGAGTTCCCTAATACCACAAGACATTTGTAGACTATTTTCATCATAAAATAAAGGTCATTTCATTCTCTAGGTGAAGTAATAGGACTGCAAGGGTGAATTTAGATAGTTCATTGGTCATAAACCCTTAATTCTGCAAAAATGTCATAGAATGCATGTTCTAAAGATATACAGAGCCCTGACTTTCTATTTAGATGAGTATTAAAGCAGCAAAATCAATCACTGCATTTACAAAACAGTATTTCTTTAAAAACAGGGTCACAGTCATTTTTTTAAAGTTAAACAAAATAATGTATCATAATTCTTTGTTATGAAATGATGATACTGGCAGCATATGCTTCCAGAAATACCACAAAAATAAACTTTTTTTTTTTTTCAAGAAATGTAGCATTTGCATGCAACAACCTCTTTTTTTCCTTTCTTACATTACCCAAGCAACATTCATGTAAAGGACAAAATACCCCAAAATGTGGGTATTTGCAGATAAGCATTATTGTATTTTTAATTCAAACTCCTTTAATTCTGGGTAGTATTCAGGCACCTGTGCCAAGAAGCCTGGAGATCTCCAGTTACTACTTTGGAGACTGCAAGGGCTGACAGCACTGGCTTACAAGGCTGGAACCAAATATTCTTTTAAAAGGAGAGCAGCTAGCACGGACGGCACAGTCCCTTGCCTTTCTTTCAAGAACAACTGTTTACAGTAAGGCTGCTTTTTTTGGAAGCTGGTAAGCACATGATGGGAGTTACCATGCAGAGTGAGTGATGGTTCCCAAAAAGCTGGTAGTAGAAGCAGATGAGACAAAGGGACATCCTAAAAAGATTCTGGAACAAGGTTGGGTTGCTTACTATAGAATCATAGAATCATTTAGGTTGGAAAAGACCTTTAAGATCATCCAGTCCAACCATTAACTGAACATTACCAAGTCCACACTAAACCAATTAAGGGTAGACTAGACTAAACCATGTCCCAAAGTGCCACATCTACCCGTTTTTTGAACACCTCCAGGGATGGTGACTCCACCACCTCTCTGGGCAGCCTGTTCCAATGCTTGACCACCCTTTCCGTAAAGAAATTTTTCCTAATTTCCAACCTAAACCTCCCCTGGCGCAGCTTGAGCCCATTTCCCCTTGTACTATTGCTAACTACTTGGGAGAAGAGACCAACACCCACCTCACTACAACCTCCTTTCAGGTAGTTGTAGAGAGCGATACTAACACTGACCCTTACACATTCTTCTCAACTCTACAGGATAAGTGAAATTCCAGTAATGCTGGGGTGCATATTAAAGATCAAATGAACAAGGAGATAACAAGAAGAAATGGAAAGCAGCCATCTGGTGTAAGAGTTTAAAAAAAGAGAATAAAAAACACTAGCTGATGCTACGGCTGTGTAATTCTCAGTTGTGTTCATTAAGTTTCAGCCCAGCTACATCATATTTCTGATGTCTTATGCATCTTCTCACACTGTCTAGGAAAATTACTTCCTGTAAATGAGCTTTTACCTAATAGCTTATTTGGATTATGTTAATTTTAAAGAATGATTTTGCATACAGAATACAGATGAAAATACAGGAACAAAATCACAGTAAGATTTTCTACAGTTATTTTAGCCCACTTTGATGCTAAATATAACACAATACAACTTATTAGAAAAATTGGGGTTTGAAGCCTGATCAATTTTTATAGTATGGTAGTCTCTGCACAACTACAGACCATGTCAGCTTGACGACTTTTGATCAGAACTGCTGCCTACCGTAAAACCAGTTTTAAAGGTAAAGAATTAAAAAACCCCAAAAACAAAAAACAGAAAAAGAAAAAAAAGAAGCTGCAGTAACAGCTTGAATTTGGAAACCATTTTGACATAGTGGTAGATTACAGAAAAATTTTCAGCCCCTAAAGAGCCTCTAACGTTGAGTTTGACTGGGGAAAATAAGTTACGCATGCAGCAGGAACCAATCACCTTGCAATGCTTAGCATTTTAACACAGGAAGACTAAATTACAAATCTAATTTATATCATAAGCACATGTGAAGCAATATTTTACCTATTTACAGATGTTTTTGGTATAGCATTGCTGTGGAATGAAGTAAACCAATGACTTACTGTTGCTTAAAATATCTTCATTTAAAATAATACATTATCTAATGATATGTTAGTAGAATAGTAAAAATAAATGAGAAACAATAGTACTAGAAATCTTTTAGACTTTTACTCGCCAAAACAGAAAATTTTCTTTGACAGGTGAGCAGCGCAGTAGGTCCAATGGTTCACCAAACGACCATTTGTATCACATAAGTAGGATCATTTAAAAATCCCAACCATCTATTCCAGAAAGAGAGGGTCTCCTAAGTAAATTTCATCCATACAGAGTTATAGCTTTAAGGTAAAACCATAAATTAATGCGATTTAGAGAAAACAGTCCAGAAATTCTTTCCATTGACAGTGATGCACTGAGTTTCACTGGGCCCTGGGGCAAATGTTGTGAGTATACACATGGATATATCACAAGAGTGGTCAAGGGTCCTTGTTAAGTTCTCAGAACAGTGAGGCTGGAGCAAGCTGCTAATATACTGACTGGATACATTACAAAACCTATGTTTTTCTTCCTATTATGTGGTACAATTATTTTAATGTTCAGCTTTGTGTCCTCTTCGTTGAAAAGAGCACTTGAGTTTAAGTGGCAAGTCACTCTGTGTTGAATATTCACCTCAGATATCTTATACATCTCTCTCCAAGGATTATGCCAGTAAACAGCAGCACCAGTTACCACCAATTCACTTATACCATCTTAACTTGATTGGAATGCAGTCCTCTTCTGCATCTGTCAATAATCCCTGAAGAGTTGATATTTACTATTTCTTTAATGCTTCAATTTGTACCAAGCTTAAACCCCTTTTCACGGAAAAATACAAGAGATACTTAAAGCTATTCTCTGACAAAGGCTCTTGATATGTTAATTCCATGGAGCAATTTCAGTTGAGATGGATTTTTGCATTCATGTAATTACCTGAAAATGCAGGTGACTTTGTTCAAGTATACTGTCCTGATTTACATATCAAAGTCTAGATATAAAAGTTATAATGTAACCTTTGAAAACTTATCCATTTAAAAACTTGGGTTAAAGTGAAGGAATTCTCAAGCTTTTCAAAACCAAATTTAAGTGACAATATTAAAGGAGCACTATAAAACCAATTAACCTACTGATGAGTTATATATAAGGCAATAATGTTTGAGTATTAGTGAGATAATGCTAGGAAAATATTCTGAATAGTTTAGCACAATGAGAAGTAAATGCTTCACAAATATAAATGAAATGTGTCCAAGATATATTCACATACAGTGCGTGCATTTTCCAAATATAGATTTCTAAAAAAGCTTTGTATGGCTTGGGTCAAGCATCTTCCCGAGCACCTACCTGCACTGAGGAGTGAGGGGAAAATGGTGTATAAAGAAAAACATAATTTCTTCAGTAACTTTGAATTAAGAGGAAGTGACCAGAAAGTATTCTGGCATAATAGTGAAACAGAGATATGAAAAGCAAAAAGTATTTTGGTACTTCAGAAAAATACTACTAGTTCTAACAACATTTTATCTTTATTAATTTAAACAGGGAGACAATGTCAAAACAGCTATGAAAGTTTCAACCCCTGGACTATGAAGAAGTCTCAGCTTTATGGACCTGTAAGAAAGTGTAGACCCATTAGAGAGGTTGTGGGTCAGCAGACTACACTTATCCTTGCAGAAGGCAATCTGCATATTAACCAAAAAGAAATAAAATAGATAAATAACAATAAAAAACCCAACACTTTAATTTCACAAGACTTTACAAGTTCGTTATTTTCTAACAATGAACTCTATAGAGAGATGTGTCTATCAGGATTTCTTAGGCACAGGTATCTGCCACATTTAAATTAGAAAAATGTCACAGCAGAATTACTCCACATCTTGAATACATACTTAGGTTCTCAAAGTATCCTTCCCCAAAACTGAAATGACATACATGGCCTACGAGAAGTGCTAGGGATAATTTTCTATTTTAGATCTACTTTACATACACTTTCTGTCAACAAAATCTAGACCCTCTTCTGCTGGGCAGATGGAAGTGTTGGGTTTTAACCACTTTTCCCATATACGTGCTATCACAGGCACCTTCATGTCTGTTGATGTCTACATCCCCCAGGCTTTTTGCCCTGCTGACATCAAAGGTCAGGAATGTCATTCATTTGCAAAGGAAGTATCCTTGGATGAAAGGTACTTAGAAGTGATTTCAGATGTATAAGAGTTGAATGATAGATGAAAGATTAGTCTACTGCTGCTACTGCTGCTTATTCTACTGGGTATATAAAAGCATTCATGTGATGTAAGGTCATCCCTGTTACCTCTCCTAAGTTTAAGGAAACAGCCTTAAGGTGTTATTTCTAACTTGATTTATTACTGGCCAAGAAAATACTAAAAACTTCCTTGGCCATCACATTTAATAAAAAGTAAAAAAAAAAAAAAAAAAAAAATCTAAATTTACCACATTATAGAAACACCAAGGAAAAGATCACATTGATATCTTCAGTTCAGCACTAACACTTCCTTGGCAATTTTGTAGAAATACATTAGAAAAAAGGAGTATCAGTCTGCATTTATTTTATTTTCAAGTAAAAGACCACTTGAAATCAAGCTAGGTTATAAAAATCCACGTTTCTGTTGTAAAGTGCAAAATTATATCTATGCTTATTTAAAAGAAGATACTGTGCAGTTCAACATATAAAGGAATCAATACTTATTGTTCTGATTTTTAAATCTGTCATAGCCTTGCTAATATTATTGTTTACCTGGTCATTATGGAAATTGGGCCTGTCTTTGGCCTATCTACATTTCCCGTTTTCCAAGTATTTGAAGTTTACACCTTTCTTTAAACTTTGTGTTGCTTATATAAGTCTATTATATCCTCTCTTCTTTTCTCTCTTAAAATAAAAAATCTTCATGGCATACAGTCTTTCCAAGCCTCTAACATACTGGTTATTTCTCTGTAGAAAACTTTTTTAAATACCATAGTTTTGATCTCTTAGAGACTCGACCAAGTCTGTCAGAATCTTGAATGGAAAGGCATTAGTAGACATACATACCATTTGAATAAATCAGAATAGAAACGTACTTCAACAGAAATTTGTATCATATAATCTTTGATTTTGATCACTTACTATCAAGCCACTGTTACTTTGCCTTCTCTCTCTGTCGTGAAGTTTTCTGTAGAAAATCCCTCCTGGATTAAATTGAGTACTCCAAACAATCATGTCCCCTTGAAAATATGCATCCATTCCAGTTATCCTTGAATTATGTTCAATATGTGATATTTGCTGATGAACATCACTGTAGTTGAATGGATATGCAAAACCCAGGATGTCAGTGTCATTAGCAACATAGAGAACTTGATCTTCAGAGCCTAGGGGTTATTACAATGAAACAAAAATAAGGTAAATGTCAACTAATGCAAAATCAGTGTTTTTCACTCAAGTAGCTTTTTGGTGTTTATCTGATATAATTTCTTATGTTAAAATTATTTTCTGATTGTTGAAGACTGCAAAAACACTTGGGGCAATAAATCAACTCTTTATACTCTGATACCAATATATATTACTTCAATGCTCTCCAAGCTCACATTGTGACACCTAACACTATATTTTAAGGCCTATGTAACATAGGAATTTGAACACTTTAAGCAGTGTACAAAAATAGGGGATATTATGCATTAAGCCCATATGAATCGCTACGTATTTTTATATGCATGTTCTGTCTAGAGGGTCCTAAATGTATATATTAAAGGAACACAAACTTGCCCATAAGCATTATTTTAAATTGCTTAATTGGAAATTAGAAGTGGAACGATCCTATCTTTAGTGAAGGCAGTGAAGTTTTGAAATTGACTGTAACATGAGCAAACTGGACAAAGCTGCTACAGAACATATGCAGTTGTACCTTATATTGCCTCACTTCAGAGAGTTAACATTTATGGATACCTGTGAATGGGTGGTATTTATGGATACCTAGTTACCATCTTGATTCAGATATTGTAAAATGTGTTATTCATAAGAAAATGCTCTCTGGTATCTATTCATTAAGTTTTGAGAAAGTTTCAAATCTGCTGCATACATTAGAATGCACTTGTAATTTTTTTAGATTGCTAATCTATATCACATTTATCCATAGAGAATCAACTTATAATAATGTCTGTCTAATACATTTCCTCCTTATGAGTATGAAATACCAAAAATCATTTGTTCCCTCACTCCTGCTAAATAGAAGAAGAGGAGTTCCATTAAAGCAAGTATCAATGAAGGAAAGAGGGAACCATTAACTATATTATAATGGAAATGAAGCTTGCAAAAAATTCAGATGTAGGATAATGATTCCCAGATTTTTAAATTATAAGCCTTCAGAATTGTGCGTGTTTGTATAATAACAAGACACTATCCACAATTAGTAACCTTGTTTGTTCCCATGTCATAATCTGACTGCTTCTTCAGCAATAGGTAATGATGATAAATCCTGATAGAGTCCACGTTATGTATAGAGGAAACTACTAATGACTCAGTGATATGATCTTCCCATGATAAGTTTGCTTCAAGAAAATGTGAATGAAACGTGTAAGATACCTGACTATCACCACCTAGCTACAGCGCTGGTGTACCTACATTTCTGACTGGTGTGCTACAAAGGAGGAAGAACTGGAATTAACAGGTGTCCTGGTTTCGGCTGGGATAGAGTTAATTTTCTTCCTAGTAGCTGGCATAGTGCTGTGTTTTGGATTTAGGATGAGAAGAATGTTGATAACACACTGATGGTTTAGCTGTTGCTAAGTACTGCTCATGCCAGTCAAGGCCTTTTCAGCTTCCCATGCTCTGTCAGGTGCACAAGAAACTG